TCTCTCTCTCTCTCTCTCTCTCTCTCTCTCTCTCTGTGATAGTCATTGACCGAGTAGCTCCGAGCGCAACGGAAGTCAAACTGGCCAGAGAAAACGGGCTAGAGGTCTCTCTCTCTCTCTCTCTCTCTCTCTCTCTCTCTCTCTCTCTCTCTCTCTCTCTCTTTGGTCGAAAAATCAAAACGGGGCCGTGCGCAGAGCCTTGAAATTTGAATCTGAAACGGCGTGGACCCAGGCCTGCAGCCTCCTGCCCAGCCCGCCCACTTCGGCCCAATCGGCCTACCACTGTTCTGGATCAAGCTCACGGTAAGCCAATTCTGGATCAAGCTCTGTGTGTGTGTGTGCGCGTTTATCAATCAAGCATATACAAACTACGGGCTGCACACCCGTGCCCTCACGGTAAGTCAATAGCGCAGCAGAAGACTCAAAGATATGACCTGACCTGTCAGATACTGACGCGACATCCCATCATACACCACACGTGAGAGAGGGAGGAGGGACTGCATACACAGAAGAAAGGTCCCTCCTTGCACACGCACATTGGGGAGATACGACAGATGAGAGATTGGGGGAGAGCGGAGATGAACACGGAGGTGAGGGAGAAGACAAAGATCGCGATAGCGAAGTCCAAAAATAGTCTCCCTGCCGAATGTCCAATCTTTGTCTGCCACAAAAATGCTGAATCAGATCCTGGGCCTGATGCCCGATGTAACCCCTGCCGGTAACCTCTCTCTCTCTCTCTCTCTAAAGAAGAAGAAGATGACGACGACGACGACGACGACGAAGAAGAAGAAGAAGAAGAAGAAGAAGAAGAAGAAGAAGAAGGAGAAGAAGGAGAAGAAGGAGAAAGGAGGGAGAAGAGATGCGAGGGCAAGACGACGAAGAAGAAGAAGATGTTGTCCTCCTCGTTGTCTCACCTGCAGGTAACTGCCGCCATGTACTGACTGTCGTCGTGGTCCCTGTGCAGGTCGCTGGCGTGGAGCGCAGCTATGGCGCCCAGGTAAGGTATGGCCTCTGCCCCTCTGCTTACCTCCACCTCTACCTCTACCTCCTAGCGTAGCGCTGTAGTGTCTCAGCGCTCCTCCAGCAGTGTGTCACGCAAGAAGTCAGCTACTCCAACTGTCTGTCTGCCCAGCCGTGGCCCAGCTATAAGTAGCTCTGGGCCGGGTGGTCTGCCTCTGTGTGTCTCCGGTCCTGTGCCCAAAACGTGGGCCTACTGGGTCTGGGTCCCGACTGGACGTCCAGACCCTGTACCTGGCCCAAGGCGCAGCCTTGGGGACTGCAGTTACGAAACGACACCTGACCAGACAAAAATAGGACAGCAGGTACATAAATAAATAAATAAATAGATGCTGTCTCGAATCGAAACCTGCGGCCTAAGGGCCAGCCGTGGGTCTCCAGGAACTGTCGGGCCCCCAAAATAGGGTCCCCAGCAACTGTCTGGCCCCCAAAATAGGGCCCGTGTGCCGGCTCAGTATGTAACACCCCCCACTCCTTAGGAGGTCAAGTCGGGTCAAGGGCAAAGTTGACGATCCGATGGTGGAACCTGGACGCGAGTACGGTGTGGAGCCGAAGGTACCGGCTTGCCTTTTAGCTTGCGTTCGTACCATGCGAGGACATCGGGGGCTGTCGCCTGACGTTCCGCACGGGTCAAGCAACGGTGAGCCTTATGGCTACAATAAGAAAAATGTACTTAGTACTCGGTCGGATTGTTAAGAGTAGCATCGCTGGGAGATGATGTTGCCGACCTCTTGAAAACCATCCATGGAGGGTGGGTCTTGCGATCGTCGCCCCGGAAAGTCGTCGTGTTCAGGTGAAACGAAAAGAGCTAACTTAGAACAATGAAAGACCGGGTAGACGGGCAACTGGGCGGGCACCTGAATGACAAATGAAGGTCTTTCGGGTGCATCCCCAGCGGGTGCCACAATGCGCCAAGGCCCCATCCATTTCGAAAGGAGCTTGCAAGAGATATCCTGTTCGAGGCTGAATTCCGCGGCGGAGACCCAAACGAGGTCGCCGGTGCGGAACGGACAAGGAAGACGCTGGCGATTGGCCTGTTTGCTTATGCATTGCTGCGTCTTCGACATCTGGTCGCGTGCCTTGACAAGAAGCTCTCGCATCCGTCGAATGAAGACAAGGTGGTCACCGCTGTTGGTCGCCCGTGGGATGATCGTGTCCAACGGAGAAGTGGCCGGCGAGTCATGCTCGAACTCAAAGGGCGACATCCCGATAGCCAGATGAATGGACGAGTTATATGCCAACTCGACATCCGGCAGCCGCTCAACCCAATCCTTTTGGTCGGGACGGATGTGAGTGCGAAGAAGAACCTGTGCTGTTTGATGCGCCCTCTCCGTTTGGCCATCGGTTTGTGGGTGGTGAGCCAAACTCAACTTGAGAGATGCCCCATCGCTTGACGAGCGCCAACCCAAAATCGAACATGAACTGAGTAATGCGGTCGCAAACCATCTCCTTGGGGTAACCCTTGGTACGAATCCGACCGGTGTAAAGAACCTCGGCCAACTCCGGTGCCTAGGCATGATAGCGGCAAGGCGAAAACATTGCGAACTTGATGAATCGATCGACCATCGTGAAAATCTCATCCACACCGGTTTTGTGCTTGGGGAACGGCCCGTTGATGTCAATGGCAAACAATTCCCGTCGTCCTAAGGGGATCGGCAATGGTCGCAACTCGCCGAACGGACGATGATTGCGGCATTTGCAGCGTCGGCAACCCTCCCATGACTCGCAATAGCGTGTGACGTCGCCGAGAAGGCCGGGCCACCAAAAGCGCTCGAGAAGTCGACCAATCGTACAATTGACTCAGAAGTGTCCGATGGCGAGAGCGTCGTGGAACTCGCCAAGAAGCTGCGTCCGCAAGTGTGGATCACTTGGCACGCAAAGAAGATCCTTCCCCCGCGAGTGGACTAGGAATCCATTACTGCGATGGCGCCGGATTTGGAGAGGAGCAATTCGCATACTTGTCGCGAAACTCGGGGTCGACTTGGTAGCCGGGGATGAAGTTGTCCCGCAAGTCGTCGTCAACCTCGAACGTTGAGTAGACTGCGAAAAGGTTCGGACCCCGTGAAAGAGCGCTCGCGAAACGGTTTGACTTTCCCGGAATGTGATCAGGAAACAAGTCAAATTGGTCGATGAAAGCCATCCAACAGGGGATGGTGCTATTGACCGTGTCTTGGGTCTTGTAGAAGACCAACGGATTGTTATTCGTTAACCATCGGAATTGACTTCGACCGAGACGAAAATCCCGCTACGGCTTCAGCACGTGTACAAAGCTAATAACTCCTTCCGTGTGTCGTCAATCGAATGCACGGCGGGCACTTTCTTACTGAAGTATTTGACAGATGCCAAGCCACGCCATCGTGTAACTCGAGGACGACAACAATGCCATAGTCGGACTCATCAATAGTGACGCACGTCGGCAAAAGCGATCGTAGATGCGTAAAACCTTTGCGGATAGCAAGGCGGCTTCGAGGACCAAAAAGGAAGCCCGCGCATCGTCACTGAAGTCGAATGGCCAATCCTTGAATTGAAGCTTGGTCAAATGGGCCGCGAACTCCGAATAGCTTATGATGAAGCGTTGGTAGTAGCCGGCTAGGCCGAGCAATGAACGGACTTTCGTAACGTTCTTCGGTTCCGGCCACTCTTAGACGATTTGAATTTTGTTCGATATCAGACTAATGCCCTCCAGTGTGACAAAACGTCCCAAGTATTCCAACTCTTGGCGTACGAACTCGCACTTGTGGCAGTTGGCTTTGTACTTGGCGCGATGGAGTGTCTCCAACACGCGTCAAAGATGCTCGAGTTGGTCCTCCAAGGTCCGACTATAGACGAGAATACCGTCCAAGCAGTCTAGCACAAACCGGTCCAACATCGCGCAGAACTCGTTGGTCATCGCCGCTTGAAAAGTCGTCGAGGCATTGGTAGCGTCTTAAACGAGGATTTGTGGCGATCTTGCAGGTGTATTGAAATCTTATGATAGCCCGATTTCTAGTCCAATTTGGAAAAATACTTTACGCCGTTGAGCTTGCGATAGTCGATGCACAAGCGAAGATCCTTGTTCTTCTTCCGTACGAAGAAAATTGGCGCACTAGTGAGCTACTAGGGCGGACCCAACCCTTGTCCAGCAAGTCATCGAGTTGCGCGCGGAGAACCGCGAGCTCTTCCTTGCTC